CACATGCCCGGGTTGCGGGCCAGACAGCCAGTCAGTGACTCCCTCATCATTGATGTTTCCCTCTCTCCCCCTCCTTTCCTCTCTCTGAAATCAACAAAGATATGTTTTTAAAAAAAAGCAGCAGCAGTGAGGAAGGTGTCTCAGAGTGGAGCCTGTGTCCCCAGGGAGACGGACAGGCGGCAGGGAGAGTGGGAACAGAAACACTGAGCAGAAAAGCTCAACGGCCGCGCTCCACACAGCATCAGGGGCCCTGCAGGCCTCACCGCGCAGCATCGCAGCCTGGGAACTGATGCTGATCATTCTGAGTCCTCAACGGAGGTCACATCATAGATGTGTCACTACAAGCTGGTCACTTGCCTCGTTTGCAAAGTGCCTGTGGGACACCCAGTATGCACTCGACTCTGTGTCTGGGGATATAGGAAGATAGAAGGTATGATCCCTGCCCTCAAAAAGCTCTCTGCCCTGGCCTGTGTGGCTCAGTGGTAGAGCACTGGCCCATGCACCCAAGGGTACTGGGTTCGATTCCTGATCAAGGGCACACACCTGGCTTGCATGTTCAACCCCAGTCTAGCCGGAGCTCATGTGGGAGGCGACCAATCGATGTGTGCCTCTTGTGTATCAATGTTTCTCTCTCTCTGTCTCCCCTCCCTCCCTTCTACTCTCTAAAATATTATTGGAAAAAAATATTCATAGGTGAGGATTACCAAGAAAAAGGAAAAAAAAAGGCTGTCTGGTCTTCAGCTTCTTCAACTGTAAAATGAGGAGCCAAACGCAATGGCTCCTGAGATTCCTTCCAGCTGGAGGACACTAAGAGCTTGATGCGTGAGGGCCTGAACCTTGACAGTCCTGTGAGTGGTAACCCAGGTAATATAACCCTGTTTTGCAAATGCACAAACTGAGGCTCAGAGGGGCTGGCATCTGGCTCAAGGTCTCCCAGTTCATGAGAAGCAGGGCCACTCAGCCACTGAAACAGAAAGGACACTCAGCCACTGAAACAGAAAGGTCTTCTTACTCCCAGCCCTGGGCCTCGCCACACTGTCTCCCTTCCTCCAAAAGGGCACTCAGAATAGACGGAGACCAGCTCAGGCATTTGGCAGCTGCAAGGATTTACAGGTCCGGAACACGACAGCCAACAGCCGCAAAACAAAAATCATGTACAATTGGACAGTGATAAATATCTCTCAGGCCAAATGCAACCAAAAACAGCATTGAAGGACCTGTCAAAATCAACAGCCAGATAAGTCCAAAGAGTCAACAGTGGGGGCTACCAGGGGCACACGCTGAGCAGCTAAAATATCTTCGAGAGAAAATGTGCTTGAGGAAAAAGGCAACTTGGGAGCACTATGTTTAAAAAAAAGGAAGGAGGGAAGGAGGGAGGGAGGGAAGGAAGGAAGGGAGACTATGCCCAAACACACACATTGCTGGTGGAGTGGGTTCAGGCACTGAGAAGGGCAGACCCGTCCACACACCATGCTTTCTTCCCCGACGGCCACAAGAGGAATGGCTAGAGACAGGACACACACAGCGGCCAGGAGAGCTGGCCTCTCACTCCCGCCTCCCCCTGTCCCTCTGCACCGGCCTTGCACTGCCTCCCAGGAGAGGGGCAAAATACTTCCAAGCGCTTTCTCGGATCTAACAGTTCTGATCTGCAATCCTAAATCCCAGGAGAGAGACTCTGATTTGTTCCCCTTGGGAACACACAGCTATGGCCAGGGAGTGAGGGTGGCCGTTCTCAGAGAAGGTGGCGATTGGGCTCAACACCCCCCTCACCCCCCGCCCCAGACCAAGTTCAGGAGAGATGTCCAACTCTAGATACTGTCAGAACCGGGCTCTGGAGGGATGGTGACGAGAGGTCTTCGTTTTTCCTTTCTCGCTCTGCCCTTTAATACATTGGCTTCCACATGTATAATTCTTCTGTGGAGTTATTAAATCCATAAATAAAGATTTAATCTCTTAAGCTCCGCATTGTGAGAGCAGGAGTTAAAAGAGCAGGCGGAGGAGATTTTCCAGCCGCTGGCCGGGGTAGGAGAGGAGGAAACTTCCAGGCTGCTGGGCCAGAGGAGCTGGGAGAGGCTCAGACTGCTGCTGGGGGCTGAGGGCAGAGGGACCAGAAAGTCCCACCTGGCCCAGAGACCACACTGTGGAGACAGCCACAGAGAGCCTGGGCGCAGATCCTAAAGAGAACTACCCTGAAGGCCGGGAGACGTACAGAAGAGTCAACAGCTCTCACACTGAGCACGTTCTGACCTAAACAGTGTAGAGAAATGGGGAGCAGAGGAAGGGGTGCTCCCAGGGGCCTGGGGGGGGGGGTGCAGCTAAATAAGGAAAGGGATTATGAAGGGACCCAGAAAACCTGAGATGAGGAGGGGCAGAGGGAAAGGGCCCTGGTTCCCGCTTAGCTCAGAGCCATCCCAGAGGAAGGGCTGACAGCTGAGTCAACAACTCCATTCCCTACATCTCTGCCTCCCGGCCCCAGGGGTCACACAACACTGGCTCCATTCCGATGACAATGACAAGATGGACACTTGGTTTCTCTGGCACGGAGACATGAAGACCAGCACCAGGGAAGAGGGGATCTTGAGGAGATAAAGAGGAGAGCTCGGAAGTTGGGGCAGGAAACTGGGACCAGAGTGGGAGTGAGGGAGCCCTCTGAACCCTGCCTCGTGATGGACAGGCAACATCTGGACCAGCGATCTGGAGGACGGCTGTCCCCACAGCGCCAGCCCCGCCTGCCTCCCACTGCTGTTCCCACATCTCCGTCCCTGGCTGTGGCCATCTTAGGGCCAGGTGTTGGGGGCAGATGTGGGACTTCTCTTTGGGCTTTTAGCCCCTCCTGCCCCCATCAGGGCCTCCGTCTTCCACGGCCTTTTGTTCAACCCAAACCAGAGGTGAGGGGCTGTGGAGGGTCAGAGAAGGGGCGGCGTGGCCAGCTCTGGATGACAGGATTCAGCTACTGAGACTCAACTTGAGCAGCAAATCAGTAATTTAACGAATCTGGACAGTTCACTGGATCTGCCCATATAGTTCCACTCACCTTCCAAAACTTCCTAAGTAGCGCCAGCTGTTGTACAGGAGCCAAAAAGAAATAAATGACAAGGCCCCAGAGATCTCTGCCCAAAAGTTGGAGTGAACTTTTCCAAAGAAATTTTGAGGCCAGAAAAAAAATGAAGAAAGAAAAAAAAAGGCTGCTTTTCCCTTTCTCATTGAGGAATCCGGCACAGAAGGACGCCACAAAGCCAGGCGCGTGGTGCGACAGAGGGACCCAGTTTTACACTCACACGGACGTCACTGACACACAGTCCTGGGGCCACTCTCCCCTTGGGGTCATCAAATAGCCATTTCTGATGTTTGATGCTGCGTCAAGATAACTCCCCCCTCTAGCAGCTTCCAATCAGACACTGGCAAAGGAGTCACAGCAGGAGGGCGGGAGACTCCCACCAGGTGCGCAGTCAGTCACAGTGCCACGTGGCCACCCTGCTTAAGGCCAGAACCCCTCTCTCCAGGCTGAGCTCAGAACTCCCTCCCTCCCTCCTTCTCTCCCTCCCTCCC